AACAACGATCATAACTCTGTTGAAAGGATGTTTTTATTTGATTCAAATGTCATGTATTTATTAGATATAAATTTCTTTGCAGATGTCATATGACTTTTATTTATAAATCAATGTTTATTAAAAAAAAGTTAGAAAATAAGTCACATAAATAAAATTAGTTCGAACAAATTCTAATAAATATAGTAAGTTCAGATAAATATATAACTAATACTCCATACTAAAATAGTATCCGCTGACATCATTCTAATCTAAAATTATACACATGTCAGGTTGTCATTAGTAATTTTTTATCCAAAACTATATATGATGTCATATTATGATTTTTATGAGAGTGAGGGATAACTCAAGTGGTTAGAACTCCCCTCCCAATTCCAAGATCTAGGAATCGATTCTCATTAACCGCCCTTGTGGCTCTCTAAACACCAAAAAATATTATGATTTTTATTTATTAATTTTTTACAAATTCTAGTCAACTTTATTATTATTAGTATCAACTTTCGGGAAAAAAAAAATGTTTAACTTTTATGCGTATATTTCTAGGCTTAGAAGTTTAGCGGGTACCCGCCCTTTTATCAATCAATTTTTTTTATGAGCTCTAATTTTTAAAAAAAATTATTTATTGTATTACTCCCTTCGTTTCTAAATACTTGCTCCACTTTTCATTTTCAGTCGTTTTTAAATACTTTCTCTATTTTCTTATTTAGAAAGCTTTTACAATATTTAATTCATTTCTCTCACCTAGTATTTAATTTTATATTCTCTCTCCTCTAATTCTCTTTACTACTTTTGTTTTTTACAATTTTTTTTTTATTCTTCCACCTACATCACTACCTCTATATTTTATTACTTTCTCCAAATTCTCTTAAAATTCAATTTCGCATATGGAGAATGAACCAAGTATTTAAAAACGGATGAAGTATTTGTTTTGGGAATTATTTTGGAGTTAAGGTCAAATACGGTATCTAAACTAACGTATTTGTAGCATTTTACTTCCTCAAATATTGAGTGAGGCAAATTGGTCCCTCAACCACTAAAAAGTATTATTTCCGGCCAAATACTTTAGGGACCTTACCTAGTCATCCATAGTTTAGAGATCTGCAGTGCATACTTGGCACTAGTTTAGGGACTTTGCCTGCTTAGTTATCAATAGTTTGGGACTTCCCTAAAGAAAATGCTTATAATTACATGAAAAAAATGCCGAAAAACTATTAGTTGATAGTTTGAGGGATTTGCATTTAAATTATCTAAAAATTCATTCTGTAAAAAAAAAAAGAAAAAATAGCAATTATAAATATAAAAATTTGTTCCAAGATTGTTGTTGATCATCCAAAAACTCAAATTACCTTATCTATTCTTATTTCTTATCTCCAATTGTTTTGCCCTAGCTATATTATAACCCAAACTCTCTATTATATTTTTCACATACACTGGGATGTTATCAAAGACATTAATAGACCCCCCTAAGTAAGATACATAATCGCCAATTTTGCCACTGACCACTATAATGCATAACCAAACAACCTTTTAAATTCATTACTCTGACAACAACAAAGAATGAACTGGTTCAACATCCATACATTACATGACATATATACATTATTAAAAATATAAAAATATTGTATCTCATATATATACAAGACAATCCAAATAATCAAAACATTTACACAAATGTATAAGCAATAGATATTGATTAAATAATTCCCATTCTTTACGTAAAAAAAAGTTCAATAGTTTATTTTTACAAGTTATTAAACTATTATAATAAAAATAATAATTAAATTTTGCCACAATATTTTAACAGAAGGTATTGTGACAATCCGGATTGACATTTTGTCAGTCCGGACTGACAAAATGCGGATATCCTCAACTGGCGGGATGATATATATTCTTTATTGGCTGAATAATATTCTCTACTAACTAGATAATATCATTTATGAGCTATATGATATCCTTTTTTGGCTAGATGATATTTCTACTGGTTGGATGCTATCCTCTACTGGCTGGATGATATCCTTTACTAACTGAATGATATCTTTTATTGGCTATATGATATCCTTTATTGGCTAGATGATATTTCTACTGACTGGATGATATCCTCTATTGGCTATATGGTATCCTTTATTGGTTGGATCATGATATCATATAGTCAATAGAGAATATCATCCAGCCACGATATCATATAGCTAATAGAGGATACCATTCCGCCAATAAAGGATATCATAGACACAATCATAAAAGATATCATATAGGTAATATAGGATATCATCCGATAACCATGATATCATATACCCAATAGAGGATATTATCCAGTCAATGGAGGATATGTATAACTTGTTAGAGGATATGTATAAATTGTTTGAAAATATGTATAACAATGGTGGAACCTCCATTGAAGTGCTCGTACTAAAGGTCATGGGTATAACATAACTTGCTCATTTCTCAACCAAAATATATGCATATGTTATCAAAATACTCACAATTCAACAAACAATCATACGGGACAATCAATTTCAACAATTATACATCACATAAGAAAGCCTCAATTCGATTTTTGAGCATTTTTCAAAAAATCCGAGAATATCAATCTTTCTCTCTCTTCCTCCATGGATGACCTTGCTGCTCTCTTTTTCCGTGACCACCACCAACTTATCATCAGGTGGAAACTTGTTTTTCATCGCAAAAAGATGATGTTGATCTGATAATTTCTCGAGTCTCGACTGACGAAACATTGAGTGCGGTACGGTTTGCCGCACCCAATATTTTGTGAAATTTTAAATAGTCTCTAAACTATTGATGACTAGGTAAGTTCCTTAAACTATTTGGCCGAAAATATTATTCTTTGGTGGTTGAAGGACCAAATTGCATTAATTAAGGGATTAAAATGCTACAAATACGTTAGTTTAGGGACTGTATTTGATCTTAACTCAATTATTTAGTTTTAATTATGGTATGATTATAAACAACTTAGAGAAACTCTAATTACAAGCTAATTTGACAATTAGCTTGCCATGCCACATAAGTTTTTAAGCTAATTATCATTTTAGCTAATTTTTGCTCCAATGGCTAGCTATTAAATTAGGCCCTATTCTTTAGAGCTGCTCTACTCTGCTCTGCTTTGCTTTTCTTTGCTTTGCTCTGCTCTGTTCTGCTTGGCCCTGCTCTGCCCTGCTCTGCTGAAATCTGCTCTGCTCTGCTGAAATCTGCTCTGCACTACTCTGGGTTAATATCAATTAATAATATTAATAAACCAATAATTAATAATACTTAATAATTAAAGTGCATAATAATTAAAGTACATATTTAAAAATTATAATAATTAAAAATTCACAATACAAATTTTTTAATATTTATTAATAATAATGTCTAACAATTTTTTTTTTTTTTGAAAAAATGTCTAACAATTTCTAAATACATATTGATCTTAATAATAACACATAATACATGTTTTTTTTTTTGGAATAGTAATACTAAATTATTATAATAATAGTGAAAAATAATGATATAAAAAGGAAGATATTTTACTAATTTGTTACCTTTTTTATGTAAAGAAATTAAAAAAGTAAATTGAATTAATTAATAATTAAATCTCACGACACTACCTATAACTAGCACTGTCAAAACGATTTGATAGTTCAGGTTCGGTTCGGTTTGAAATCGGTTCGGCATTAAATCGGGTCAGTTTGAAATCGGTTTAAATGTATCGCGGGTTGGTTTCAGTTCGATTTAAATAGTTATCGGTTCGATTCTTTCAGTTTATTCTTGAGCGGTTTTAATTCGGTTCGGGTTGTAAACGGTTCGGGAAGTAAACGGTTCGGTACAGCCGGGTTGCGGTTTGTTAACGGTTCGGTGTAAACGGTTTTTATACCGGTTCAAACAGTTTCGGGTTGGAAACGGTTTCGAGTTAGAAAATGTTCGGTTCTTTTTCGGTTTAGTTTTATTTTGGTTCGGTTTATTGACGGGTTTGCCTTTTATACGATTTAACGTTATTCGGATCAGTTTCATTTCACGTTTACTAAATTATGGTTCAGAACGGTTTTTTATTTCAAAAAGTCGGTTTTTAATCGGGTCGTTTGGATTCGGGCAGTTAAACAATTTTGGTATGACATTTCATAGTACTTGCTAACTAACCTTTTGCTCGTTAGCAAGTTTTATATCAAGCCGAGACTTCATCACTTCATATTTAGGCATTAGGCATTATATTATATACAAATTCTCATCGATTTTATAAATACATATCATGTTATTTTCAAGTTTAGTCATACTAATGTTACTAGTTTATTACGAAGTAACGTAGATTATAAAAGTTTAGTGTATTAACGAATTATTATTGTTTTACTATCACATTTTTAGCTACTTCTTATTCAATCATCTAATTGATGTGTCATAATCATGATTTGATGAGTTATTGTGAGATCGAAATTACAGTTTGATTTATAGATAGTTCGGTTTGTTAACGGTTCGGTGCAAACGGGTTGCAGTTTGTTAACGGTTCGGTGTAAACGGTTTTTACCTCGGTTCAAACGGTTTCGCACTAGTACAAAAACATTCATTTGCGTCGCTCATTTAGGGTGTATTTGCGTCGCTTCTATGAGCGACGCAACTGCTCGCGACACAAATAACTTTTGAGTCATTTGCTTCGCTCATAGGAGCGACGCAAATAATAGTCATTTGCGTCACTCGTTTGTTAAATGAGTGACACAAATGACTTTTTTCATAAAGTATATTTTATTATTTGCGTCACTTCTTTAATAAACGAGTGACGCAAATGACTTTTTTCATAAAGTATATTCTGTTATTTGCATCACTTCTTTAATAAACGAGTGACACAAATGACTGGTTTGAGGAAGAGAAAATGAGCTATTTGCGTCGCTTCTTAACGAGTGATTTAAATGACAATATTTTTTTAAATCCACACATTAAAAAAAAACATTATATTTTTCGAACTGTATCTCTTCATATAATACAAATATCATAATAAAAATAATAAGATCAAGTACTAATTTCGACAGAATTTCCTTTGTATTTTAGCCTACCCATTAATTTGGGAATGATGGCGTCTTGTATTAGCAACCTGTCAAATAAGTTTACACTCGACAATATTGACATTTTCATCATCAATAACACAAGCCAGACCAACCCAAATGTTGATAAACCAAATGCGTTCATTTCAAGCCTAGAAACAAAAACAAAATAATCCAATAAAATAAATGGAATTTGAAGCCACAGCAGAAATCAATTTAGGGACAAAATCTTCATTTTCTCTAACACGAACAAGTCCATAATGGAAGTCCAATTCATTTTTCTCTTGCAAATAAAAAGTTTAAAGTGACCAGCTCCTGAAATCAAATATAATGGATCAATAAACAATAAACAATTAGAGATGAGAATTAAGCATCAAAGCTGCAAAAAAATAAAATTCTACAATTATTTAAACAACTATATTACCTTTCCAAGAAAAATACTAATAGTTGTTCCCCTAATTAAACTAAGTCTTCATCTTCATCTCAATTAAAGGGTACGGTATCTTTTGCAAAATCTCTCGATACAAAAACCACAAAATATATACATTTAATTTTAACAAAACGACATGGTAAAATTATTTGAATACAAACACTATATCACAGTTTATCTATTCACAACTAAGTATATCATCACTAGTAGAATAAATGTAATGGCAAGCGGTTCAAACCCCCTAATGGCAAGCGGTTTTGAACTGCATGGGATTAGGGGGCTTGCCATTTGCCATTACTAGAGAAAGGGCAGCGGTTTTGGCGCCAAACCGCTGCCCAATATGGGTATAAAAATTAATTTTTTTTTTTTTTGGATTTTTCACATAAATTGATACACAAATCAAACATATGTAAAAGCATTAATATTTTTATTAATTATTTGTTCTAATATTACATTTACATAAAAAAAAATTAATACAAGTAACAAAATTAATACAAATAATATATTAAAAAAAATGCTCATGTTGCTTCGTACCACCAGCCACGACCACCAACACCACCGGCCCACCACGACCCACCAATACCAGTACACCCACCAGCCATGACCACCCACCACGACCCCCACCAATACCTGAACACCCGTCAACATCGACCCCCACCAATACACGACCACCCACCAGCCACTACCACACACCAGCCACCCGTCCACACACGACCCCCACCAACACCAAACAACAAAAAAAAAAAAAAAAAAAAACACCACCAACACACACCGGCCAACACCACCACCCACCACGACCCCCACCAACAACAAATCGACCTAAAACAAACCAATTCAACCACCCATCACAATAAAATAAAATAAAAACTTAAAAAACAAAATAAAAGATTAAAAAAAAAAGGAAATACCTTGAATACAACCAAAAAATCGAAATTGGCTTTAAATTTGGGTTTTATGGGTCAAATTCAACCATAAAAACTCTAGATCTAGAGTTTTTATTGTCGAATTCGACCATAAAAACCCACACGCACCACCACTGGACTACCACCATTTAAACCCACACAAATTGGCTCGAAAACCCACCTGAATTCGCTCGAAAACCCATCGGAATTCGCTCGAAAACCCACAAGAACCAATTAGGGTCTTGGCGTGAGAAAGGAAAGAAAGATATGAGATAGAAAGATAAGAGTAAAAAAATGGAGATGGAGAACGGAGATGAGAGAAGAAAGAGAAGGAGATGGAGGAGATTGAGCTGGAGAGAGAAGTGAGGGCGTGAAAATGGAGGGGAGGAGGAGAGAGAGCGTGAGAAATAGAGAGGAGGAGGAGAAAGAGCGTGAAAACTGAGGGGAGGAGGAGAAAGAGCGTGAGAAATAGAGAGGAGGAGGAGAGAAAGCGTGAGATTTTAGGGTATTTTTAACAAATGGCAAGCGGTTCATGTTCCAAACCGCTTGCCATTTACAATTTGGCAAGCGGTTCACCCTAAACCGCTTGCCATTTACAAATTGGCAAGCGGTTCACCCTAAAGCGCTTACCATTTACAATATTGCAAACGGAATTCCAAAACCGCTTGCCATTTGGGGCTTCCCATTATGTTTATTCTACTAGTGCATGGAACATTTTCGAGCTACAAAAAATATGGGAAAGAGCTTCTCTTAGTAGTAGCAGGGGCTTAGTAGTAGCAGGGGAACAAAGAGCTACAAAAATTGCATACATGACCATCCTCTTATATATTGATTGTTCATTAGAAATAATTTTCACCCCTATAAAAAAACAGTAAAATCAGCAGCAAAACATTAAAAAAAAAATACAGTCAATTGGAGAAAAATCAATAAAATAGTAAAATCAAAACTTAATGAAACCCAAAAATTCATCCGCAAGTCTAAAATTCGTGCAAAAAATACAACAAAATAGTGAAATTTAACTAAGTTCATCCAAAATTGAACCCTAAATTCCATCTAGTATGAAAACAGTAAGAACACAGAACAGATCTTACCTTAGTTGAAATTGACTACATAAATTTATCAAAACAGAATCAAAAATCCGTAGAATCGAGTATAAATCCTACATTTCTTTGATTTGTGCGCAATATATATTGCAACTGATGAACCCTAAATTCGAATATGAACCCCAAAAAAACCGTTATTTAGAAATTTGCTTGTAAATCTAAAATTTGTGCAAATAATAGCAACAAAATAGTAGATTAAACTATGTTAATTTACAATTTAACTCCAAATTAAATATCTATGTGGATTGAAGTGTTGAAAAATAAGAAAAGAGATGAAGAGGTCTTACCTTGCTTGAAATCAATTTTGCAACTTCAGCAACAATAGAGCAAAAATTCCATATGAATCATAACAAATTGCCACTAATTTGAACGAAAATCCAACCTTCTTGCTTAGATCTGTGTGTAAAATCTGCAATCGCAGAACAAAAAATGAACCCTAAATTCGAAACTCAAACTTAAATTTTCTCACAATTATGCTCGGGAATTTAGGGTAAATTTGCTCAATATTCTGCAGTTGTATTTTGTGGGGGTTTTGGGTCGATTTTTTGCTCGAAAATATTGAATTTCTCCTTGGATTTGCTCGAATATAGGGGATTTTTCCTCACATTAGCTTGGATTTTCGAGCAGTGGTCGAATTTCTGGCGGTATTGCTATTAATTCGTTGATATTTTGGTGGTCAAACAGCAGCAAAGGGGAATTTTGGGGTTTTATTGATCGAATTGTTGGGGTTTTGATGTTGAATTTCTGGGAATTTCGGGGTTGAATTTGCTGGGGTTTGGAGTTTTGAAGTTTGAATGGCATAAGGCAGCGAGAGTTATTATAAATTATAATGGTCATTTGCGTCACTCAGTAAAGAAAGAAATGACGCAATTGACTCACAAAGTTATTTGCGTCAATTCTCAATGAACGAGCGACGCAAATACCATTATTATATGCGTCATTCCTATTTATAAAATCGACGCAACTATAAGTAAGTTGTAATATGTCAAACTTTTGCTTCGCTCTATAACAAATGTGCGACGCAAATTACTTATAACGAAGCCAAAATATCTCATTTGCGTCATTTGTTTCTACGAGTGACGCAAATAAGGTGACGCAAATGAGCATTTTTTTACTAGTGTCGGGTTGGAAATAGTTTCGGGTTAGAAACGGTTCGGTTCTTTTTCGGTTCGGTTTGATTTCAGTTCGGTTTAAAACTGGTTCGGTTTGTTAACGGGTTCGGTTCTTATACGGTTTGACATTATTCGGATCGGTTCGGTTTCGGTTTTACTTAAATACGGTTCGGGTCGGTTTTCGGTTTTACAAAATCGGTTTTTAATCGGTTCGGTTCTCATTTGGGTCGGTTGGTTTCGGACAGTTAAACGGTTTCGGTTTGAAATTTGACGACAACACTACCTATAACTATATATTGTGTTTAAGAAAATTGGGAAAAAACCTAAACGAGAGAAGTTGAGCAGTCGTTCGCCATACTCTCAATTCTCCATTGAAGCTGCGCTTCCGAGCTTTCTCTCCTCCATTGAAACAGCTTTTGAGGTCAGTTTTAATTAATAATCAAAAATCGATTTCGCAATCTAGGGTTTAGTTTCATACTTTCATTGCTTTAATTCTCAGTATAGTCTATTTCGTTGCTTTTGGTTTCTCTAGTTTGATTTAGTGAAAAATATTAATGATTAATAAGTATGTATTGATGTGTTAATCATGCTGAGTAATATGTATTGATGTGTGAAAAATATTAATGATTAATAAGTATGTATTGATGTGTTGCTTTCGGTTTCTCTAGTATTGATGTGTTAACATCAGGCCTAAAGCATAATTAATTTTAAAAAATTGACATTTTAGTCTCAAAAAATTCACAAATGCACACTTTAATCTTCAACAAGAGAAATCTAAGAGCTTAAACTTTCTTCAACAAAAGCAAACAACACGTACAAATTAAAATACCTTAAGTAAAAAAATACTCCGTAAATCAGTAGAATGAGTACTTGATGTTGCCATCATAAATAATCAAGGAATTGGACAAAAGACTTTAAAACCTGAAGGAATTAGTTACGAGTACATTGCTAGAAATTTGGAGTCTTTTGTTTGACAAATTCTCAACTTCTTACTGTGAAAAATGAAAGTATGAAGTAGAGGGGAGAAAGATAAATTAATCAATAAATGGGCTTATCCTATGTTAATTATAATAAATGAAAGTATTGCTTAGGAGAGAGAAGATGACTTATTTATATTTTCAAGAATATATTACGCATTCACACTGCCTAGTTTCAGAGGAGACAGATTAGCTGTAAATGACAGCTTTGCTCAGTGTTTTCTCACTTGGGCTTCGATTAAAGTAAATTTTGGATTTTTGGGCCCTCAAAAATGGGAGGCCCTGTGCAGTTGAACACTTTGCACACCCTCTTCAACGGGCATGGTTAGAGGTTATTTTGAAGAAATTTTGCTTTATTGGATAACCTTTGATTATGATTGGGCTTGTTAGCAGTGACAGTGCATGGTCCATCAGGAAAATTAGATCAAATTTGGCATGACATTATGACATAATATGGATTGGTATTAATAACTAGCATCCAGCCAAACAAAATATATTCTAATTAATAATAATGTGTATGTTAAATAAATTGATGATGACCATATCACGTAGGACTCATTGGCATTTGCTGAGGGAATTTTGTGTAATCTGATTGGTTTCACACATCTTGCTTGTTCATGTGAAACAATACATATATAATTGGATGCATATATATATGGCTTTTGTTGCATGGTTTTGTAACTTGTTAATTGGACAGCTAACAAGATGGGAAAAATGCATTGGGATGCCCGTACCTCAACAAAGTATTTAGAAATTTTAATCCAAGAGAAAGATACAGGTGGTCATAATAAGTGGAATTGGGAACTTGTCGCTAAACAGTTAAGTGCATGCATTAATAAGGAAGTTAACTCAAGACAATGTGAAAATCGGTTGTTTGTTTTGAGGGGGCATTACAAAGCTCATGTAAGATTATCTAATATGGCTGGGTTAGCGCGAGACCCCATAACAAACAAAGTTGATATCGAGAAAGAGAACGACACTGAAAGATGGCACAAATTCTTAGCGGTACGTACCTTATCCTTTTTTTTACTACTTCGATGACATTTAAGATGAAATCTAATGTGTTGTAACTTTCCTATTCCAGGACTTTCCTAAATGTGGTTATGAAATAGTTGCGAAGGGGTTAGCAAACGCAGAATTGATGGAGCAAATATTTCAAGGAACAACGGCTGTAGGGGTCGGCGGATGCTTTTCACCAGCAATGGCAAGGGGTAAATCGATCTTGTCAAAGAAATTAGTTTCTCTTTCTATCAATGATGACAACGACGAATTTGGATATGATGCTGAAGAGGGAGATGATGATGTTGAACCAAGTGAAGGTTCAGGGGATAACGAGAACATTGATAGTGATTTTGTTGGTATTGATCTCAATGTATCAAACGCTGCCCAAAGTGTATCCCCTCCAAAGACTGTGCGGACAAAACTTCAGGGTGGTACTAGTAGTAAACGAAATAGTGAAGGTAGTATTGATACTTTTGAGGAAAAAAGACGAAGAGCTAGTATTGATAATGTTATTAAATTGTTGGAAAAAAGTGTTGCATCTAAGCCTATGGACATATTTCCGTTGGTGGTTCAAACTCTGAGTAGAATGGGAGTTGCTGTGGCACGAGGTCAACATTACTACATTCGTGCAGTGAAATACGTGGAAGAAGAGAAGTTTGCCCATATGTTCTTGGCACTTGAGGATGACGAAGCTAAGTGGTGGTACTTAAATGATACGTTGCCTAACATCTGATGAAGTAGAACTACCGTTGAATTAAATTTGATTGAATTATTTTTTATTCTAATTTGTTTGCACTATGTTTGTTTTTATTTCAGTTGACTATGTTTTGTCTTTAAATTCGGTGAACTGGGTGTGTTGTTTTATTATGGTTTTTATTTGGACTGACGATATGGGAATGTTAGAAGTGTTTAATGTTCTAATTTGGATTAATTAGATTTGGAATTTACTATTTGTTTAGGGTTGATAAATTGTTCTTATATATCATTTTCTTGTTTTGTGTAATGTAGAATGGAAGATGAAAACATTAGACAAGCATGCATGATTATTGCATTACAAGAACTCCGCGATTCACTAGAAGACAATCCTGATTCAACAACAATACCACCAATAAGGCAACCAAGAAGAGAACTAGGGGAAAGTGGAGCGCAATATATACATAGGTTGTTAACAGAAACACCTACGGAATGTCAAATTCAATTAAGACTTGATCGACATATGTTTGTTCAATTAGTGAACTTGATGATTGAAAGAGATCTACTTCACGACGCTAAATATGTGAAAGTAGCAGAGCAAGTAGGTATATGTCTATATATTTTAGCAAAAGGAGTTTCATATCGTGATGCTAGCGACAAATTTAAGCATTCTATTTCTACAATATGCAAGTATTTTAACCAAGTGTTAGAAGCGTTGGTTATTTTGTCCTTCGATATCATTAGACCACATCGTGACTTATCAGAGGTGCCTCCCGAGGTAGCTAATAATACAAAATATAGGCCTTATTTCAAGGTATAACTTCATTATTTATATTCACTTGATTACATTTCAATGTCGAAAGTGTAGATGTTTATTAAAGAATTAATTATAAATGTCATCATTTGTCAGGATGCTATTGGAGCTTTGGATGGAACTCTTATCGATGCCATTGTAAGTGATACGAATGGTGTGCCATTTCGTGATCGGCATGGGAGAAAAAGTTGGAATGTCTTGGCTTGTTGTTCGTTTGACAGAATTTACACATTTATTAATGTCGGTTGGGAAGGAAGTGTTCATGATACAACGGTGTGGAAAGACAGTTTGGGTGATCCAAAATTTAATTTCCCTCATCCACCTCCGGGTAAACTCTGATTCTTCAATTACGTATTAAATATATATTTTCATTTATTATGTGTAAAATACTCTTAAATCTATATATTTCAGGAAAATTTTATTTGGCGGACTCGGCATATCCAAATACTCTTGGATATATGACGCCATTCTTCGGGGGAGTAAGAATACATATGCCTGATTTTAGAATACTGCCACCTAGAGGATTAAAAGAACATTTTAATAAGCTTCATTCATCGCTAAAAATGAAGATGGAATGTTCATTTGGACAGTTGAAAAAAATGTGGAGGATACTACATAACATGCCACAAGTGTCACAAAAGATTCAAATGTCAATCATTATAGCCACTTGCACACTACATAATTTTATTCGGATGCATAAGCTTGGCATACCAATCATTCAACATGACGCGAGTATAGGAGTAGCAGATTCAACTATGTATGCACAATGGCGCAAAAAAAGTATGGCCAAAGTGCGACATCGTATAGCACGCCGAATTTGGAGGGCTAATCGCTCGGAAAGCGACAATGTAGGTGATGACAATGACTATCAAGATGATAGTGAAGATGATGAAAATGAAGATCATATGGAAGTAGATGGTTAATTCACCACAATGTTGTAATAATTTGAATATGTAATAATTTGAATATTTTAAACCATTATCGTCTTTTATCTATTCACTATAAACATATGTTAACGTGGTACACATCTATTTATGTTTTCATTCACACATCAATTATAATAGTGGTAGTAGTAATAATAATAATAATAATAGTGGTAGTAGTAGTAGTAGTAGTAGTAGTAGTAGTAGTAGTAGTAGTAGTAGTAGTAGTAGTAGTAGTAGTAGTAGTAGTAGTAGTAATAATAATAATAATAATAATAATAATAATAATAATAATAATAATAATAGTAGTAGTAATAGTAATAATAGTAATAATAATAATAATAATAATAATAATAAAATTATAATAATAATAATAATAAATAATAATAATAATAATAATAATAAAATTAAAAATAATAATAATAAATTAATAATAATAGTTGTATTAATATTAATAAAAATAATGTTAAAATCTGCTCTGCTCTGCTCTGCTGAAATCTGCTCTGCTCTGCTGACCCCTGCTCTGCTCTGCCCAGAAGCTCAAAAGAACAGGGCCTTAGTAGTAGTTGTTGGATAGAAAATACATGGAAAGAGCTTAACTGGTGCAATAAGCATTTTAGTTTGGAAAGTTTAATTCCCAAGCAAATTAGCTTGCTTGCTTAGCCAAGCTAATTGAGTTTTCTAACTCCAATGGTCAAGCTAGTAGCTAGGGAATTATTGAAATTGCAAGCAAGTCCCTACGTAGTATCTACAACCATTGAAGTTGCTCTTAGGATTTTTTTTTTTTTTTTTTTTTTTTTTTGTGTATTCATTCATTTACGATCGAGTAAATTTTTTTGTTTTAACATATGCGGGAAAAACATGGGCCACCAAAATAGTTGGAGTATGGATTAAAAAAGGCATATGTGGTCCCTTGATTGTTTTAAGTGAGAGCTGTAACGGTTGCTTTTTCAAGCTCTAGCCAAAATCATTTTGACATTTATTAAATATAACACTGAATATTTCTTATTGTTGAATGTTGGAAAAATCTCGTGTATAAATTTTTCTCTGAATTAGGGTTAGAGCTTTAATCAGAAGCCGCAAAATTAGGTTTGAAAACTGAAATGATGTGTAGTGGGGGTACTACCGTACTACCTATACGGGCTATACCTATACTATGTACTATTAGCACATCAATCAATTAATACTATATAAAGTAATCATGAGGATTATCTAAGAAGTACATCTGTTGCGTTCACATTAAAAAAATTCTTGCCAAAAACTTTTTTTTTTCCTTAAAAAATAATTAGATAATTGATTACAAAAAAAATTATACAACCTAAATTATAGAACAATAACAACTTTAATTATTATTATTTTTTTTTAACGGAAAATCAGAAATTTTATTAATGATGACTAATGTCAAAGCTTACATAAGCCTGAATTAGATCAGGAAAATCTTCTAGCCAAACCCGAAAACCATCGAAAGTATTACTCAATCGAGCTAAATGGTGAGCAACTTGGTTCCCAGTTCTTCTCACCCAAGAGAAGGAACAGGACGAGCATTCACCAGCCATACATAAGATATCCTTGATAATCATACCCCTTGCAGAAGAGTCCACTTTCCCCTTCTTCAAAGCCTGAAACATACTCTGACAATCAGTTACAAGAACTAGGTTCCTGTATCCTGCATCCAAGGAAGTTCGAAGAGCATGTCTAATAGCAAGGCCTTCAGCAATTTCCACATCTTTATCCCCACTAACCTTGCTGCAAGTTGCCAGCACCACATCACCCACCATGTCCCTCACCACTCCCCCTAGACCAACCATATCCAACTCTAAAAACGCAGCATCAGAGTTAACTTTATAAATGCCAGAGCTCGGTTTTTGCCATTTCGAGCAGTTTTCAGTTCCCCCTCCTGCATTTCTATCTTCTGTTATTCCTTTATCACATTCAATCACAACTTGCATAGCTTTGTGAATTATCCCACCTCTCTCCCATCTCTTTTTATTAAAAACCCACGCATTTCTGCATCTCCAGATTTCCCATAAAATGCTCCAGAAAATACTCCACCACCTCTTATCAGTATGAGCAATAGTGAGGTTAGAACACCATTGCTTGAAATCATCCCCATCTACATCAGTCACATTTAGCCTAAGAGGGGATTGCAACCATACGATACTCGCACTTGAGCATTTAACAAGAAAATGGAAAACCGTCTCCTCGTCAACACCACACATTGGGCACACAGAGTCAATAGGCATACCTTTTTTCCTCAGTGCTGCACGAACAGGTAAGCCATTCTTTAAAGCTTTCCAAGCAAAAAAATTTATTTTAGGAGGAATGTCATTAATCCGCAGCTTGTTCCAATTGAAAATGGTAGGAGAATTGGAATTGGAAGCACGATTCTGATTCAGCTCACTCAGCAACAAATTGTAGGCATTACGAACGGAAAAATCCCCATTCTTGGCAAAAGACCAAGTCCAAACATCATCAGCATCATACATTGAGGTTGGGATTTTCTTGATGGCGGTCACTTCCACACTCGAAAACAGTCTCTCCAGAGTATCCATGTCCCAGCATCCCTCAATCAGAAGATCATTCACCATGTACGGCCCCTGTCCATTCACTCTATTAATTCCATTAACCCGAAATTCTGGCAAGGAAGGAACCCATGGGTCCTTCCATATGTCCACAGAGGCGCCACACCCAATCATTTTCCTCACACCCTTCTTAAGCACCCATCTAACATTGCAGATTGATTTCCATGTAAAACTAGCAGCAGGACTGATTTTGGCCTCCAAGAAAGTCGAATTTGGGAGATATTTTCCTTTTAAGACTTTCGCCATCAGTGAGTTTTCGTTGGTGAGAATTTGCCACCCTTGCTTTGCTAATAAAGCATCATTAAACAATTTCATGTTTCTAAACCCCATTCCCCCCTCTTTCTTTGGATAATACATCTTATCCCACGCAACCCACATAAGCTTTCTCTCCTTCCCTTTTTGCCCCCCAAAAAAACTGTCTACACATTTTTTCCACAACCTCCAAAATGCTCTTTGGGAGAGCGAAACATTGCATTGCATATGAAGGAATAGCTTGAGCAATAGCTTTGATGAGCACCTTTCTTCCTGCTTGTGAAAGAAACCTCTCCTTCCATCCCTTAAGCTTTTTCCAGACACGGTCTTGAATTGATTGGAAAATCTTCTTTTTTGACGCTCCCACATACGTAGGAAGGCCAAGGTATTTTTCATGGTCTTCAACTGCCTTAAAGGTTAACTTTGTCTGAAGCAAATCTCTCTTTGCAAGCTCCACATTTCGGCTAAAAGACACCTCAGATTTATCCATATTCAATTTTTGCCCGGAAGCAGCTTCATAGATTGACAGAATATCAAGAATCTCTTCCACCTCTTCCTCACAAGCTCTAACAAAAAGCAAGCTATCATCCGCGAAAAAAAGATGACTAATGGCCTCCACCTTCCTCCCAATTTTAATGCCATGAATGCTATTCCTTCTTTCCGCATCTCTCAAAAGGGCCGACAAACCTTCCGCACATATAATAAAAAGAAATGGTGAAAGGGGATCACCTTGTCTCAGACCACGGCTCGGAGAAAACCATCTCGAAGGTTGCCCATTAACCAACACCGAAAAAGATGTCGTCGACACACACCTCATGATTAAATGGATAAAATTATTCGGGAAACCCATTTTAACCATCATTTTCTCCAAAAAAAACTCCATTCAACCCTATCGTAAGCCTTGCTCATATCTAGTTTAAGGTCCATGAAGCCTTTCTTCCCAGTTTTTTTTTTCCGCAAATAGTGAAAACACTCATAAGCCACTAAAATGTTATCCGTGATAAGTCTCTCGGGAACAAAGCCACTTTGAGTTTCAATGATAATGTTGGGAAGAACTTTCTTGAGTCGATTTGCAAGAACTTTCGACACCAATTTGTACAACACATTACAAAGACTAATCGGTATAAAATCAACAGGAGACTCACAAATCTTCTTTTTCGGGATCAAAACCACATGAGTCTGATTAAAGGAACCAATGTCATCTCCATTGTTCAACACACCAAGCACCAAATCACATACATCTTCCCTACAATACCCCAATACTTTTGATAGAAAATTGCAGACATTCCATCCGGCCCCGGAGCTTTGGTAGGATGCATTTGGTCTAAAGCCTTCTTCACTTCCTTTCTAGTAAAAAGTCCCGCAAGCATATTAACTTGGTCTGCCGGAACAGTCAACGAGACCTTGTCAATAACAGGCTCACAATCCACCTGGTTACCGGAAGTAAACAAATACTCTAGAAACTGGCAAAAACCTCAGTGATCTGCTCTTCTGTCTCATATATAATACCCCCTTCATCCTTGATTGTGGCAATGTGATTTCTTTCAACTTGCTGTTTCGCTATCTGGTGAAAAAAAGCCGTATTTTTGTCACCGCTTGTAATCCATTATTGCCTACTACGTTGTCGCCAATAAACTTCTTCACGCTTCTCAAGCTCATCCATACGATCATCGAGTGCTCTCATCTCAGCAAGCACACTATCAGATTGCTCCTCCCTCATGAGAGACTCCATCCTACCCTTGCACTCCCGCATCTCTTCAGCAAACTCACCAAAATGTTCTCTGCTCCTGGTCAGTAATTGTGTTGCAGTAGCACCAAGTTTTGCAGCGACACTCCCTCCCCTAGCCCATGCCATTTCTATCAAGTCAGCACAAAATGGATCACGAGTCCACATTTCCTCAAATATATACAATTTCTTCTTTTTTTTTTCTTCTCCTGCACTTCAATTTTCTTCTTAATGCACAGCAAGATTGGAAGATGTCAGAACGCCTCTTTGTAAGGTGTGTAACAAAGGAACCCGGGAAAATTTCTTTCCACTCATCGGCTGCAAAAAAGCGGTCAAGGCGTTCCTGTAGGTTAGCCTCACCACCCCTATTATTGTTCCATGTGAAATCATATCCCACATACCCAAGGTCAGCCAATTTACACACACTTCGCAGCATTTCT